ACTTTATAAACCATGGATTTGTTGGTCACAGGTTGTCAGCCAATCAGTGTGGCGACTTTGTTTTCCCAGTCAAACTCACCCCTTGCTTTTCAAAAATCCAAGATGGTGATGGCTGAAAACATTCGGCTAACCAACGGGTGATGTTACGTTACGTCCATCTGTTCTGGGAATCCATCCTACCTCACAAATCATCCTACCTGTTGTTTCTGCATATACGCTGCGCATATGCACAACACAAAACCCAAATTTACTTAATTTTTTTAACCCATTGTGAATATTTCTTATGGTTATGGTTTGGATGTGGACGGGATTATTTTTTAAAACGAAAACGGAAAATCTCCGTTTTCAAAAATACCCGTGTACGTGTGGACAATTCAAAGGGGATGTGAAAACCGAGGGACGATAATGCCTGTGAAACCAAACACTAATCGGCTGTTATCGATCACAAGTTGTTGACCAACGAATAAACCCAAGATATCCCCTTAAATGAACAAAATATACAACATCTACTTAACTAAAATCTATTTGTTTTACTCTGTATGACCTGAAATTAGTGGCTGAGCTCAGAAACCCATCAGGAAAGTTGTTACTGACTTCTATAGGACTGTAAACGTTTTTGCAACCACAAGTTTCGACCCTTGTTCCTATTAAAAACAAACTGCATTAATGTGAAGCTTGCCTGCGCTGACCTAGCTGAGCTAACAGGATAAAGTATTTCATCACAGTTGCTTCTCTTTAATTATTAACAGGAAAGATTTCCACATGAAGTCCTTGTGTAAATATTCAACATCCCTGCTTCAGACTTCAGCCTTGAAAAAGGTTGTTTTGAACCCAACAGATATGTAAACGTCATTTAAAACACAGCAGCATCTGCGGCTTTTCCTGCGCTGCTTTACCTCCAGCATGGAGCCTGGAGGGTGAGAGGCTGCAGGGTAGTGGACCACCTCTTGCACCTCATCTCGAGGACGGTCTGAGTTCTTTCCAAAAATCACATGGTCATCACGAGAGCCAGGGGGCAAGGAAACAAAACAGTCACATGACATGGGGGGCTCTGCCATCCTGCAACAAAGACACAGAAACAAAAAAAAAGGAAGTGTGGCTGGCTGTGGGGAACAGGGGCGTGATTGACCCCCACCCCCCGTCCTGACCCAAACACGC